TAGAACAGTTTGATAATGGTAATATTCAGGCAGAGTTCATTAACATATTTTAGACATGTCAGTGACTTTTACTGTCAGGAGGATCATTTATTTGTAAGTCTTGCAAGATTACGTTGCTGCGTGTACATCCAGATCCTTATAATGATTCTTAGATCATGTGTTACGATCCCTGTGTCCCATTCCTTTAGTCAGTTATAACTTAGTCAATCGCTGAGATCGTAGTCCCAGAGGGAAGTTTGGGGTTGTTTTTTTCGTTCGAAAGGTAGATGTGGTCCCACTGAGAGTTTTGAATATGAGGCCAGAGTCTTAGGAGAGACAAGGCAGTGATTAGAACTTCAGTTTCATAAAGACCCATGTTGTTCACCTAGGCGATCTGCTGATTTCTGTACCAGTCTGAGCTTTTCAGAAGATGCCTTATTTCTTTTGTAATCATGGGAGGTAGAAATAATCAAGACGAGAACACAGATGTGAAGATCACTGGTGCCAGATGTGTGTGATAAAATGAAGTGCAGCTTCTGCCCATTTGCAAAGCCAGATGTCTCTTGCCACCACACTTAAGAAATGAAGAGTTAATAAGATCTTGAAATAAAGATGTTGCAGAGGAGATGGTCCCTTCCAGTGGATCTTCATCTGAACTTTTGTCCTGCTTCAGTTCAGTTTAAGCCTCCTCTTCACTGATCTTATAAGGCTGTGCAGGTGAATGCTTTGGAATTGCAAGAAAGAATTGATTTTTGTTTATGAGAAAGACCTCATTTCAGTCATCCCCAAGAACTAGAGGCAGGCCTTCTCAAATACATGGTTTGCGAAATCTGTGAGGATGAGTACTCCTCCCTCATTTTTCAGTAGAACAAACTAGGACCCAGAGCCACAAGGACAAGTTTGTCGGACCAAGTAGGAGAAAGCTAACTCTAAGAGGAGCTGATGAGATTGGTAGCACAGAGGTGAGGGGACTGTTTCTTGTTTTAAGGTTAACTTCCCTTCATCAGAGGAAATGTTGGCATTCTCTGTATTTCTGGAGTCAGTGTTCTTTTTCCCAGGGAGAATGTAGTGTCTCTTGATTGTCATCATTGTGTAAAGAGCACTCAGTGTAAAGAGCTGCTCAATGAATGACCTTAATTCTTGGGAAGGTGTTCTGTTCCTGCTCTGCATTCACCTTACTGGTCCTTGGTGGTTCATGAAGCCATCCTGCATGCAGATGATCTTTCTTGTGGATCTGGACAGTTATTTGCAGAGGAGGTTTTACCATCCTGAAGTGAATGGAGGAAGTCATAAGTTTTCTTAAATAGTCTGAAAAAGTTCTGCTGCAGGGTATAAGTAAGATCCCTCTCTGATAAAAAAGAAAGATTTTGTTCCTTTAGAGTGTTGGTAATGATTTGAAGGCATAGTTTATGCTTGAATCTAGATCCTATTGTCTTTTCTGATAGCAGAAGTTCATGTTACAGGTCTTTACGTCCTCTCTTGCATATTCATCCAGGCTGCTGCGGTTACCTATTGGATGTCTGGGGCATGGGGGAGCTCGGTGTTTGTGACCATTTTCAATAATCAGGGAGTGCCCTAACTCTCCTACTCCTTCAATGCATTGTGCAATATAAGTACATTTCAGATTTTGACAAATGAGTCCCCTGTCTTAGCTCAGTATTGTTTTCTTTGTCTCTTTTTCCCTCTTTGACTTTTCTGCTTTTACTTTCTGACTTTTCTTTCCCCTTGTCCAGAACTATTGTGTTAAAAAGCTATGCATAATGGACTTTCTCTGATTTTGCTTATTTGGGGATACCTGTCAGAGCTGTTACATGGCTGAACCACACATCTATCTTGATGTTAGTCCCTAACACAGGAAGAAAAGTGCTTGATCAAAAGGCAACCCAATGTATTTTCTCTCCCTATTTACACTGAACATAACAGAGTCCAAAAAATCCATGAATGGAGACAAGTGAGAACAAACAGAACAAGTTGTCAAGGCAGATGGAATGCTGTACTTCGGTGGAGAAGCCTGTGTGCAAATCCTGGAAGATTATTATTTTAAGCAAGTCCAAAGATGACATTAGCTTTAATAATTTCTACTTAATTTGACGTAATGATTCCCTGCAAATATCATTTACATCACAAGTAGCAGTCTGATTTACTGTGAAACTACCTGCACTTCAGAAGCTTTGATTTATAGTGTACATTTTTTTTTTCTTTTTTCTTTTTTTTTTATTATTATTTTTCATATCTTTCTGGCATCTGGCAATCGATGATTGAGATTTTGTTTTCACATATGTTGCGCAAGAGGAGTTCAGGATGTGTAGTTGTTTAGCATCAGGCGTATGTGCTTTAATTCTCACTTCCAGTGGTAAAACAGTCTGTCGTATTTTTAAAGAGAATAGAAATCAGAGCCTACTGTGTGTTTCGCGATTGTTTCAGGGGGATAGCCTTTTCAGTTTTCTACTTTCAAATTTTTAAATCCTTTTAATGGTTTTATTAACATCCCAAATGAGTATTTTTACGGTTCTTTCAATGTTATCATTAGGTTCAAATTATAATAGTACACATTTACTCTAGGAAGTACATAGACAATCTGATGACTGTAGCCCTTTCATTACAAAATCATGTCAACTTAAAATTTAAATAAATAGCTCCAGATGATTGAAAGATGTACATGGTCTTACCTCGATTTGATTGATAACATACGACTCTAAACCAACCGGTTCCATGATATGTCAATATTTTGAAGGTCTTTAGTATTATATTGTCAACTTTCAAGTGTATTTGCACTTCCAGGTGACTTACTGGGTAGTTTACTGATTTTATTTGAATGTGGAATTGCCTGATTTTACTTCATATTTACTTGGGTCACCAGGACAGTTGAAATACAGGGTTTGCATTTTATGGAACTTATTTGTTATGTGTAGTTTATTAATTGAGTAACCTGAACTAGTAAATATATGCATATGAATGCCTGTATTCATTATTAGGATCAGAAAACATTTTAGCACATTTTTTTCTCCTAGCACTAACAGGTCTGAGTGCATCGTTTAAATGGGCGCAGTCATTTTCATTTAAGGGAAAATTAACTTTTCTTCCATCCGCCATTGTTCTCTAAAGAGGATTATAATACGGTCAGTGAAATGCTAAGAAGGTTAAAGAAAAATTACGTTAACCTCAAAGGAGGGAATGTCTTATTTATGGCCTAACCTTGTAATTATCCTGCAAAAACAAATACAAGGGGCGGGGGGAGGGAACCTCTTCTTTCTGCCCAACTTCCACCTCCCCTTACTCTCCCTGTCACTTCTGGCAGTGTAACTAATGGCCATATCTGGATCCAGCCCTCCCCACCTCCGCTCCGCTGACATCATAAATTATCCAGATCTAAATGGACAACATTCATTAGCTGTGCACTTTACAGAAAGAGCCAGCTCAGGAGCTAAGCACTCGCCCATTTTTATTAAAAGTTAAAAAGCTCCTTGCTGTCACGGAAAGGGGAGGTTGGAAGAGGTACAATGGAGGACAGTGCCACAGAGCTAATAAATAAAAATAATAACTATTACCATTGGTTGGGTGACCCGGGGAGAAGAGCACTACCGAGCCATTTGTTGTTCCCTTTCACTTGTCAACAGCAGTGGCTTAAAAGCCTTTGCCATTGTTCAGGGCCTAATAGCACCTGTTGGGAAGATAGGAAGACAGCTGTCAAAAAAAAAAAAGGAAATAAAAAAAAAAAAAAAAGAAAAAAGAGGAAAAACCCCAGGGTGGGGGAGGAGGGTGGAAACCGATGGTTAGTTCAGTAACATGCATTTTGGTGCAGCTGCAGCAGGACATGTTATGGTTTCCATTCGGAAGTGTCTTCCACTTACAGCCAGCCCAGACAGGCACCAGCAGAGCCCCAGTGCCGGCCCATGGGTGCCCATTCTGAGGGCACTGATAGTTAACCAAAAAAACCCTAAACTCTAAACCATGCTTCAAGAGCGGAAGTTGTGGCTTTATGCCACAAGTGCTTGTTTCACTTGCTGCTTTTTTTCTCTTTCACTTGCTGCTTTGTTTCTCGCCTTATTGCTATCTTGGTGTCGGTAAATAAGGTTCCTCTTCCCTCTTTGTCAAGGTAAAGACCACACGTAAGGAGGGCCAAGACGCAAGGAGCCCCAGGTGTCAACAGCTCCCATTGCAGCTGATCATCTGGAAGTCAGAGCTGTGTACTTCTTGGTAGTGGGAAATAATGACTGTGGCAAGGGCTGAAAGATAGGCTATTTAGAAAATTGTCTTCTCAGCTTCATCACATACAGTGCTTGCTTTTGTCATTTTGAGGAAAATTATGACCACTTCAGGACTCACTTTTTTCCCATTAAAAAAAAAAAAAAAAAAAAAGGTTGCTTTGTGATTTTTTCGTAAGAAAGTTATAGTAATTGCATGTGAAGGGTTACATTGTTGCTGTTGAATTTAGGATTTGAGAAGTGGAGCGGTTGAGCTTCAGAAGGATTTCCTTGAAATTCTATCCAAACACTGTAGTTCTCAATTTATGTTTTATGGTTATTTAGATTATAGACTTTTTGGCTCTCCTGGGGTTTTGTTTTAGGTTGTTCTTGAGAAAGCATTTAATTACTTAAAAAGAGACAGGTCAGCACAAAAGAGCTTTTCTGTCAAAGGATAAACCATGGAACATCTTTAATGATGTTTCAATGCCCATAAAAAGTTACTGTATAGTCGTCTCATTGAATGCTTTTTTTAAGCCCTCTTGCTTATTAAGGATGTGCTGAAAATGTAAAAAATTAGCAGACCAAAAAAATTGCCCTCTGTTAATACTAACAAGATATTATGGCCCTTTAATTAGGAACTGGCTCTGCTTGTAGCACCAATACAAAAATGTATTTCAGGGGAATATGTATTTCAGTGGACTATCTCTGTCCAACTGAGACAGAAAAATAAAACTGAAGTGAAATGTAATGGTATTTAATTCCAGATGTCTCTGTTTTTATGTTGTTACCCTTGAAATAGTCTCTGGAAATATTAAAACATCTTTGTGGTTTCAGAATTTCAGTGAAGCTCAGGCTTGGTATAGTGCCTCCTTCTGTCAACTGACACAGGTTTTTTTGCTGGATGGACCACTCCTGAGAAAATCAATTCTGTCTTTCATTTAGAGATGCCTGGAATTAAAGAGGCATTAGGAAGTTGAAGAACACAGATTAAGACAAAATTCTCTTTTTTCAGGCATAAGAGAGGGGTTATTTATTTTACTGTTGCCCTTCTTTTCATAAGGATTCCTACTGATGTAGTATCAGTGTAAAAGGAGAAGGTTGCTGCTCAGGTGTTTGAAAGTGAGTTACTCCATTTTATTTGTTAATTTTATTTTATTTTTAATATCACGACAGCATGGGGTCATTTTTTAAATTTAACATATCTTTTTTAAGCTTGGTAACGTTCAATAACTTGCATTGTTCTTACTTGTTAATTTAATTAGGGGTGAAGAAGACGGTGGTAGCGGGAACTCAGAAACATTCTAAAGATCATGTATGCTGGAAAAGATATTCCAGCAACACTTGTGCCAGTGAAATGCTGCATTTGGCAGAATGCGTTCATGATCAGCTCTCTCAGCCAACTCACTGGCCTGGATCTCCAAAGGCAGTCAGAGCCCAGTTTGTTTCCAGAATGAGATTTATGCTCCTGAATGCCTCTGGGAATCCAGAGCACTGAGTCCCAACAAATTTCAGTGACAAAAGATATATTGTCCTGTGCATGGCATCCAGTGCCATTCACAGTGCCTCAGCATGCCCTTCTCTAGGAGACACAGTAGCTCGGCTGCAGAAATGGGAAAGGCAGAGATTGAGTCAATTCTCGAACCTGCCATACCCTACTATGTATTTGCAAGGACAAGGATTTAGATGGATGGTAACTGAGCAGTGACTACAAACTACGCTGTTCTGGTGTTTCTTTAGAATAATTAAGCTGTAGTGGTTTGGGGGATGTCCTGCAAGTAAGGCAGCCCCATCTACATACAAACCTGCAGCAATCAGCAGTGGCTCCAGGCTTGATGTGAAAGGCCATATTCATGGAGGTGTGAGTGGAGCACACCACTGTCCAGCTTCCCTGGCACACAAATATGAATGCCACCCCCCCAACAGTAGAACAGGAGGCAAGCCTCATATAGGAGCTTGCAAACCGAGATTATTATTGTTTAGAGGGTAGTCAATGTACACTTAGTAGCCTCATGGAGTCTGTTGTCACTAGGGTATGAAAGGCAATGAAGTATGTACTCTTCAAGTTAGCTTGCTGGAAATAACAGAAATTGAGCTGGAATTCCCTGTTGTTCTGAGGTGAGAGCAGGGATGCGGGCTTGTTCCCTGACTCAATGCTGTGTTTGTAAAAGAATTGGTTTTGTCAGGTATGCAGGCCTCAGAAGGGCTTTGTGGACATTTTATTGGTGAATTCATTGTCAGTCCAGAAGAGTGTATGACAGACAGACTTTCAGAAATACCAGAACTTTTCATGTTCTGAAGACAGACTGTGCTGAAGCTGTATACCAGTAAAGGGGATGGAGGCAGAGAAAACCTTGACTGTTGCCTGTGTAACCCCAGAATGAATATAGACTCTTCTGCTGCCTATATATGAATGTAGACTCTGCTGAAGGACTGGCAGAAGGTATTACATGACAGGCTTGATTTCTTTGCACTGTACATGTCATATCTGGAGTGTGAGACTGACTGCTCCTGGGGTAGGTGACCATTTGTGGAAACAAGACAGACTGAAAAGTACACAGCTAACGGTGCAACTGCCATTGCATTCAGGTGATGGAAACTGTAAAAATTTCAGACAATAGCCTGACTGTTCCTGAGGGTGTAGTTGAATGAGATGCTGGTTTTGGCCACAAACCTAGCTTAAGAAGTCCCCATGCCCTCCCCCTGTCTTGCTTAGCCATGTGTTCCTGCCTTGTGCTGTGGTTTGCTGGCTCCTTGCTTACATCCTAAGGGATAATTACTTCAACAACTGGTAGTATAGTGTATCTGAAGACTATTCTAACCTTCCTAGTAAACACCCTTGTGTTTTCAGGTAACTTTCTTGTAAGACTGGCAGTATGCATTGGTAAGCAGTTGTAAAAATAACTACTTGTATATTCGTAGATAGAGTAAAATGTTTTCAGTGGCATTCACAGATTGCTGATTTTGATTTTAAAATCTTGGATAATTTATTTATTGTGCTATGGAACCTTTTCTGGCTATGTGAATTATTTTTTTTAGCACAAGAAGCAGTATGCTTGTGCCAGAAATCACAATAAAAATGTCTTATCATTCATACAGTGAATACTTCATTAGTGCAGCATGATGGGTATTGCAAAAAAGGGCCAGCAAACTTAAAAACAACTGTTGTATTATTAAGCATACACAAAACTATGCAAGTATGTGCAACAAGAATAGTATGGTAACCTGATGTCATTGTGCACCACAGGTAACTACGGTCATCTGTGGATGCAGAAGTTAATTTTGTCCTCTGAAATAAAATGCAATGGGAGCTAACATGTGGCTGGGGTGAGACTGGAGATTCCAAGAGCAGGAAGGTTGATTATCCCTGCCAGAGAAGGGAGCTTTTTAGTAGGTTTGGAAGCCACGCATGGACATATGTAGCCCAGCTGTTTTCTGCACAGTGGTTGTGATGGAGCGGTGTAGTAAGAGTCACACTATGATGTGCTAGCCAGAGCACCAGAGCTCCCTAATATCTCATCAAAACTTGAATATTTCATTCGGCTCTGTGAGTTTGTGCCCAAAGACCAAGTATTAAAATAATACCTAAAACACCAACAGCACTCTACTTCCTGTCCCATCAGAGAAGCCCCTGTACGTCTGCACTTAGCACCACATTTTTGCTTATCGCATCTGAGCAACTATGTCCTACGTTTGAACGATAGTTATATTTTGTAGAGGCGTTTTCTACTGTCTTCTCTGAAAGTTTAGAATGCTTTTAGACTGGTGAAAAATTGCAGTACTTCCTGGAAGGCAAGAGAAAAATGTATGTTGTGTGGTCTTTGATTTCCAAATTTAAATACATTCTGTGTTGTGCCTGCTCATGATTCATAGTGTCTTGCCTAGCTGCAAGTAGTTCCCTAAAAGCATGATTCTGTTGATGGAGAACCATATGTGTATGCAGATGCTGTGTGTCTATGTAACCTGCTGATACCAACCATTTCTTCATAATAGTTGCTTTATTTTCTTTGCTATGAAAATTGCTTCTGATTTTGTATAGGTAGGACCTTCGTAATAAAAAGTGGGTGCATAAAAAGAGAAATTTCTTGTCTGCTTGTCTGCTCTTTTAAAGCAAGAGTGGAAATCTGCCCTTAATCTTATTTCCTGATTTAAACCAGGAAGGGTCTGTTGTGGTGCACGAGCACAGAATAGAGTGCCAGTGGGGTGGCATGTTGATAGGTGAGGGTTGTAGATACAGTGAGTGGAGTTGGGGCCAACAGGTGTAACATACTTACGACCGTGGCAGAAGAGAAAGGTGAATAATGGATGCCAGCTCAGTATTTGCCAGCTTTTTCATAATATAAAGGAAGGTGCTTGCCAGAAGTGGAAGGCATATCAGCCAATGCTAAAGTTTATTCATGATTGTTTCTGCCGACCAAATACTCCTTCCTCTAGGAATGACATGTGTTGGCAGGAAATGTCTGGTGGTCTGGCTGGGTATTGAGCAACTCCTGGCTTCTCTCCACTCTGCTACACTTCATGTCATCATCCTTACTGAGGCCAAACATCTTTCTTTTACTTTGTTCTAAGGAGTCTTTCATCCCAGGACAAAGCTATTCACAGTAGTTACGGGGAAGGGAGCACTTCAGGCATCTCCTTGGAAGAGCACCCATGCTCAGACACCCAGACACCATGCAAGTGAGAGGCTCCAGGACACATATTGTTCCTCTAACTTATGGCTGACTTAAGTCAGCCTCCTTCCCTTTTATTGTAGTTTTCTCTTCTTTGTAATGTTAGAACTTCGCTTTTCCCTTTCCTTTTCGAATATCTCTCTTCTGAAGTGCCTCATGTGGAGAGCCCCCATCCCGCACCTTGTTACAGCATGATGGCATTACGTGCCTTTCTCTGGAAGCAGGCAGCTGCATGAGGCCGGCGTTTGCTTTTAGTAAATAATCAGCAGGAGCAGAAAGAGGTAATAGGAAGAGATTTGGCAGTGAAGACCATTCTAAGCTTTTATAAGTGGATTTCCAGGACTATGACCCTGGAGCATGGATTGAAAAGAGCTACCAGAGAGCTTAGGCCTGCAGGGAACGCTGTGCTGTGGGACTGCGGTTTTTGGAAGGCTGCCGAGGCAGGTTCAGGTACACGTGCATCTGGACTGCCACTGAATTGAAAGTAGGATTAGGTCACTCCCAAAGGGGAGTTACAATGCCTGAAAAAATTAACACAACTTCTGGAAGTAGACTAAATTAAATAGAAGTCTAGCAGACAGTGCTAAAAATGGTGCCTCTCACCACGGCGTCGTAGCCTTGGTCACTTCCTGGAAACAAACCGCTCCTTTCTCAGTGTGAAAACTTTCCATCTTTGAAGGAAAAAAGTCAGTGAAGATATGTTTAAACATCAAATGCAGAAGTAGAGGGACGGCGGCATGCTTGTTAGCATACAAAAACTTAGATTCAAAAGCGATTTTATGTTCATTTACTTAGATGCTTTGCTTTCCAGTACTGTCAGAGCAATTCAGCATATGTATGTGTGTGCCCAGCATGCACAGATTGATGCACATGTGCAAATCAGAGCAGCTAACGTGGGACTATGACACCACCGAGAAAGTGGTTTAATTCCATGAGCTGAAGGCCTGCATGAGAATTACTGGCTGCTGGCATCAGTCTCCAGCTCTCATTGTTGTAGATGAGGGAGTCAGCCACCGTGGTGCTTGGCATGGGAGGCAGGGAGGGAGGGAAAGGAGGAGGGAGAGAGGGAGAGTGGCAGGGCCGGTGGGCCCCAAGGAACCAGCATGCTGCTGGCACACTCGGGGGGCCGTTCACCAGTGGGTGCTGCCATACGCAGTGGTGCAAAGCAGCACATGCCAGCAATAGAGGCAAGGGTGATACAAGGAAAACAAAATGTGTCCTAAATATCTCTGGAAAGAGCTAATGACTGATAAATGTGCTGAATAGAGATGGCAGAAATAATTTTTGTGGATTAATTTGTATCTATTAATTCAGTCTCCTCTTCAGCATTTACTTAATG